AGGTATTAAAGCAGGGGCAGGCATGGCTGGTTGGACGGCCCCCATAGGTTTAATTATAGTGTTAATGGCCCTTAAATCAGTTACCATCTGCCACTTGCCTGATTTCTTTTTTACTAGAAACACAGGAGAATTCCAGGGGGAAAGAGAAGGTTCCGCATTTCCAAGTTGTAACTGTTCAGAAACTAATTGAGTTAAAGCCTCTAGTTTTTCTTTAGAAAGTGTCCACTACTCTATCCAAACAGGTGTGTCAGATTTCCATTGTAAAGGGACAGGATCAGGAGGTGTTGTAGCGGCTGCCACTAAAAAGGATAATGTAAACCAGCTCTGTCTTCTTTTACAGTAATTGGGAGGGGTTTAGTAATCCTTTCATGTTTTGAACCGAGACCGAGTCCAGGAACAAACCCCATGTTTTCCATCATACACAGACTGGGAGCACTATAAGAGTTATGTGGAATATTAATTTCAGCCCACCATTGTGCCAGCAAATCTCTACCCCAAAGATTAATAGGGATTGGCATGATATAAGACTGAATTGTACCCTTTTGACATTCGGAGCTGGTGCAAGGCAAGATAAATGTGCTCTCATAAACTTCCTCGGATTTTCCAACACCTACTAGTCCCATGTTAGCGGGATGCTTAAGCCAGGAGGAAGGCCATAAATTAGAGTAAATAATAGAAACATCAGCACCAGTATCTACTAGGCCCTCAAACTTTCTTCCTTGAATGTGTATGGTGCAGGTGGGCCGTTGTTTAGAAATTACAAAAATCCAATAAGCGGCCTTTTTGCCGCCGGAGCCCATCCCAGGGCCACGTGTCTTATCTCCTTTGTTTAAAATGATATTAGGTAGTAAAAGCAATTGAGCAATTGACTCACCAGCTGGAATGGAAACAGGAACCTTGACAGACATGATTAATTTAATCTCTTCAACAGAATCAGAATTAATGATACCAGTATGAATGGTGATTGCTTTAGCAGAGGTGGATGCCCTAACTAACACCAGGCCCACCAAACGTTGAGGTAAAGGGCCAGTGACCCCCGTGGGGACAATTAAAGGCAAAGAGTTAGGTAGTAAATGTAGGGGAATAGTATACAGAGATTGACCACCTCGCCCCCTTCCACGGAGGTAGACAAGCATTGTACTGAGACAGAAGGAGAGGCTGGGACCCATTTGGGTTGGCTGTAGGTAAATTTGTTTGTGCTGGTGGCTGCATTGGGACCACCTGAAGCGGAAACGCAACGTTGGTCTGAGTCTGAAGCATCCCATTTGATATCAGGGCCTGGGACCGGCCCCACTCCCCGTTTTCCTGGTATTGTGGCAGGGATTTTCCATACTTACTTACAATTACTTGCCCGATGTTTACCTTTGCAACAATGTGGGCAAACAGTAGCATCAGCATTTGGCCGTGTTTGTTGAGTAGGCTTGGCCACTTTTAACAGTGCAATTTTTTCGAGTATGACCAAGTTGACTGCAATTATAGCAGGCTCCAAGAAAAGAATTAGTGGGACCAGTTTGGTTGGTGTCCTTCATGGCCCATGCCCATAAAATAGCTTTGTGGGTGTCTGATCCAATGCCTTCACAAGACTTAATATATGCAGGCAACAAACACCTCATGATCAGGTAAATTTTGTTATTGGATAGAACACATGACCATTTTACACTCATGATTCACATTTTCAAAAGCTAACATACAAAGGACAATACATTGAGTGTGCTCATCAGAGACAGATTTTTGAACGGCATCTTGTAATTTAGCTAAAAAATCAGGGTATAATTCAGAGTGACCTTGTTTAACCATGGTGAAAGAAACAGGAGCTTGGCCAGGAGCGCGTAATGTATCCCAAGCTCTCATACACACCTTTGTTACTTGTTCCGTGGTAAGAGCGTCAAAGTTTAATTGGGCATAAGCATCAGAGAAACTACTGGAGCCTGTGAGCTGAGCCTGAGTAATTAGAATGCCATTAGTCTGACTTAGCTGAGCCTGCAAACGGGCCTCTTCTGACCACCAGGTACGAAATTGTAAATGCTGAGATGGGGTTAGAACAGCTTTTGCCAAAAGGTTCCAGTCTAAAGGAAGCAAAATGACCTCAGTACAAAAAGTTTCAAATACCATTTTAACATAACGAGAAGTAGGATCATACTGAGTACAAGCATCCTTAAATTATTTTAAAAAATGTAAGATTAAGAAGTACATAACAATGCATTTGTACACCTTAGAAGTTAGGAGGGTCTAGCCTAACTGGATAAGTCCATGCATCTAATCCACTTGTTTCTTTGTTTTGGCATAATAAGCATTGCATTGAAGTTTCAAGAGTAGGCATCTGAGATGGAATTGGCATAGAAGTGACAGGAAAAGCATGTGTAGATAAGGGAAACTGAGGGTGAGGGGGTCGGACTGGAATGAGAGTGTGAGAAAGGGGTATTGAGGGAGCAGAAGGAGCAGAAGTATACTGGTGATTACTGGCATCCATGTGTGAAGAAGGGTACAGAGCAGGCTGAGTGGATGGCAAACTGACCGGTTGAGGAACTGAAACGACAAGAGGGTGAGGGGCTGAAGTGGATGGGGGAGGGCCTGAATAATTATAGGTACATTGTAGTTTGGTCCCGGAGCCATTAGGTGATTCTGGAGGTTTGAAGAGAGAAGAATTTACATATATATGGTCCCAGGCTGTCTGAGTCGGGGCCGCAGGAGCTACTGGTACCAGCTCTTCGTGAAATGAAATAAGATCATCAGGGGGTGACCGTAATCCAAAGTCACCAGAGTTAGACATTGAATCCTCAACATTGTCAGATGGGGGAGGAGTAGCTGAAGGGAGAGAGGCTGATCAGATAACAAAGTCAATGCAGGAGAGGATGGTTGAGGAAGAGGTGGAGGGTCATCAGATTCAGAGAATTATGGTAACTGTAGGGGATCACGGGATTGGTGTGGCATTAGGATGGCACTACCAAGGCCCAATCACCCCAAACAGTGGCGGGAACATAATTCCCTGTGGAGACCAGTTCCCAGAATGTTGCACCAACATGATCCCATAGTTCTACATCTAGGGTTCCTTTTTCAGGAAACTAAGGACAGTGTTTTTCCACCACCTTGAATAGAGTGACCATATTTTCCATGGTTATTCGGACACCGCCCTGTTCTAACAGGAGCTTAATGTAGCAGAGATAAGCATGACCTTTAGACTCTGCATGACCCATAGTTAACCTGGACCATACACAGACTACTCACCAGTCATCAAGGAGTCAAACAAGCATTTCTGTGGACAAAACCGATGTTTCTCCACACCTACCAAAGGGAATCAGGTTCCCACGTGCACTTGGGGAAAAAACCATGTGGGCGCCAGATATCAGAGGAAATTCAGCCCCGATATTTCAACGTGGGTCGTTTTCTATTTTCCCTAAGTGTCAGCTGGTCTGGGAAATAAAGGGAAAGAGTACAAAAGAGAGAAATTTTGAATCTGGGTGTCCGGGAGAGACATCACATGTTGGCAGGTCCGTGATGCCCGCTGAGCTGTAAAACCAGCAAGTTTTTATTAGCAATTTTCAAAGGGGAGGGAGTGTATGAATAGGGTGTGGGTCACAGAGATCACATGCTTTAAGGGCAACAAAAGATCACAAGGCAGAAGGTCAGGGCGAGACCATAAGGTCAGGATGAAACTAGAATCACTAATGAACTTCCATGTCCCACTGTGCACGCATTGTCATTGATAAACATCTTAACAGGGTTCAAGAGCAGAGAACCGGTCTGACTAGAATTTGCCAGGCTGGAATTTCCTAATCCTAGCAAGCCTAGGGGTGCCGCAGGAGACTAGGACGTGTTTCATCCCTATCTACACCTGCATAAAGCAGACACTCCCAGGGCGGTTTTAATATAAAATGTCCTCTTTATTTATTTTTAGATATTTTATAACTTCAGGTATGGTTCCCTTTTGATCCAGGGTTTATTCATAAGGCTATTACACTGGGTGCAGTGGCTCATGCCTGTAATCCTAGCACTTTGGGAGGCTGAGGTGGGACGATTGCTTGAGCCCAGGAGTTCAAGACCAGCCTGGTAAACACAGAGAGACTCCATATCTACAAAAAATAAAACTTAAAAACAATTAGCCAGGTATGGTGGCATGAATCTGTGGCCCCAGATACTCAGGAGGCTAAGGTCGGAGGATTGCTTAAGCCTGAGAGGTCAAGGCTGCAGTGAGCCATGATCATGATCATGCCACTACACTCCAGCCTGGGTGACAAAGCAAAACCTTGCCTCCAAAAAAAAAAAAAAAGGAAGAAGGCTATTCCTTCCAATATTTCAGATGAGGATTCTAGTAATATAATGTCTGTTTTTTGTTAAGTAAGCTGTCCTTTCTGTTGTGAAGCTTGTCAGAGTTTTTTCTTTTTTATCCTGAAGTTTGGGAATTATACTAGTCAATATGTAGATGTGCATCTATGTATGTTCATCCTGCCTGGGACTTAGTAAAACCTTTTACTCTTTCTACAGTAAGTATATATATATATTTTTCCCCTTAGCCAAGTTTTTGTTACTTCTTTATTACTATTTTCCATTTGATTTTTTCCTCCTTCTGAAACTTTTATTGTCTGTATATATATTTTCTTTTTGAATTATATCTTTTGCCTCACTATGTCCTTTTTTATAGTTTTGCTTTTGGTTACAAAATATTTTTTTTCCCTGTGTCATGCTTTATTTAACCATTCTCCATTAACAGACTCTTAGCCCATGTTCATGATTCTTTTTTTGGCTCTCTATTCTGTGATGTGCATTTTTGTAGCTAACTTTTTGTTCAAGTTTGTGACAAATTTCCTTAATGAAATTCCTAGAAAGAAATTACTGGGTTAAAGGGAATGATTTTTTTTTTTTTTTTTTTTTTTTTTTTTTTCAACATTTTTGTTTTTTCTTATGTCTTACCAAATCTTTCTTACAGAAAAAGTTTACTCATTTATACACTCAAGAAGGGTATGTGTTTCTCATTTTAAAAATCATATATTTTTCTTTTTTAGGCTTTGAAATTTCTGAAAACCAGAAGAGGCAGGCTGCAATGACTGTGAGAAAAGTCCCTAAGCAAAAAGGTAAAGCTGCCTTTACCTCCTCAGCCCCACTCAGTCTCTGTGAAAGACTGTGGAATCAAAAGCTATACGCTTACATATTCCTAGGCCCATTTCTGTGCTGAGGTTTACTTGAGGGTGGTGAAGGAATATCCAGGTCCCTAGGTGTCCTTGATGACAGGGAGCAGATGGTTTTAAATGCTTAAGGCTAAGGAGTGAATGGTATAGGGTGTTGGTGTCCAAAGATAGCTCATTGAGTTTAGCAAAAAGAGAACCTCTGTTCCTCTTTTTTTTCTTACTTAAAAATAAGAGAAACTTTACTAATAATTTAGAGATCAATGGACAGTAGTATATATATGCTTTATTAGTAAGTATAGTTTGGGCGTGATGGCTAACGCCTGTAATCCCAGCACTTTGGGAGGCCGAGGCAGGCAGACCAGGGAGATCGAGACCAGGTTGGCCAACATGGTAAAACCCCTGTCTCTACTAAAAATACAAAAATCAGCTAAGCATGGTGGCACACGCCTTTAGTCCCAGCTATTGGGGAGGCTGAGGCCGGAAAATCACTTGAACCCGGGAGGCGGAGGTTGCAGTGAGCCGAGATTGTGCCACTGCACTCCAGTCTGGCGACAGAGTGAAACTCCATCTCAAAAAGAAAAAAGTATAAAGATATTGTTCAGCTTTCTGTCACTGGTCTGGGGGCACGTGCCAAATCAGGAGCCCCGAATCACAATAAAGAACCTCAAACTGAGCCAAGACAAAAGATTCAGATATTCTCTTTCTTTCTCTCAACTGCAAGCCAAAGTATTTAAGAAAAAATACCTTGCAAATCAATTTAAATCTGAAGTAAAGCTTTAGTTTTTCTTTTATCATGAACCAGAAGAAAACTACCATGCTCAGTCAAAGGGAAGGAACTACCTTCTGCTTATTAGAATACCTATTCAGTGTCAGTCACTTTATATAAGTTATTTCATTTGATCATTATGATAATCCTGAGAAGCTGGGCAGTATTAACTATTTCTCAGATGAGGTAGCTGAGGGTCTTTGAGTGAAGTAACTCTGAACCTTAAATTGGCTTGACTCAGAGTCCACTGTTTTCTCCTCTCCTTCTCAGGGTCCTGATGAAGCCCCATGCTTGGAAAAAGAGTTTGGTTTTCTGTCTTGCATCAATTGCTGACAGCTGCTTCTATTACTGATAGCCATTTTCACTGTCCCCAGGTGTGGGCAATCTTAATGAGACCTTACTTTCCCCAGGCCTTTCCTTCTGCTTTCTCAGTCTGCTTTGTGGTTCTGAATGAATCACCATCCAAAATGATCAGATTCAAGTCTCCTGAAATTTCCAGCAGCCATGTAAAGCACTATTTTTTTTCCATTGAAGCTCCTTTTGATTGAGGCTGAATGCCTGTAAACATCTGATTTCCAGTTAAACAGTGAACCTAGCTCTGCTGACTAGACATGCCTCCCCTTCAATTGCTTATTACTTCTTGCTCTTGGGAGGCCCTTATTTTCTCTTTTCCTCATCATGGGACTGTGATTCCCCTTATATAGGGAATAAGGCCAGCCTTAATTAGCCACCAAAAAGTTGGGAGTTAATTTACAGTGGGGAATTAACTCCCAACCTTTGATTGCTATAATAACATGTGAGAGATGGTGTTAGAAAGCAATCTGGAGTTAATGTCAGTAAGGATATGGCCTATATTAACATAACTCTAAGATTTTGCTCCAATTCCTCAGACAAAAATGTGAGCAGAAAAGAGCCCCAGCCAACTGAAGTTTTCAGGCTGCAAAAGGGATACCGTCTTAACAGCTTGCCATTGTCTCCTGGGTGCTCTCAACTTCTGAACTTTCTCACTCTGATTTCCGCAACTTCCCCCACTGTATTCTTCAGCATTCTCTAGAGGGACAGAACTAATAGGATATATATACGAGTTTATTAAGGAGTATTAACTGACACTGACACAATTGCAAGGTCCCGCAATAGGCCATAGGTCATCTGCAAGCTGAGGAGCAAGGAAGCCAGTCCGAGTCTTAAAGCTGAAGAATTTGGAGTCTGATGTTTGAGGGCAGGAAGCATCCAGCATGGGAGAAAGGTGTAGATTGGGAGGCTAAGCCAGTCTAGTGTTTCTGTGTTCTTTTGCCTGCTTTTTATTCTGGCCATGCTGGCAGCTGTTTAAATGATGCCCATCCAGATTGAGCTTGGGTCTGCCTCTCCCAGTCTACTGACTCAAATGTTAATCTCTGGCAACACCCTCACAGACACACCCAGCAACAATACTTTGCATCCGTCAATCCAGTCAAGTTGACACTATTAACCATCACATCCACCATGCTAACCTTTATGGTACTCCTTTATCCAAGCCCAGTTTCCTCAAGCATATCTGAGACTGAATTGTCTTTTCACTGAGAACACTTCAAACAAGGGAATATCTATAAAGCAAAGTTATAAAGGAGTTATAAAGCTATAAAGGAGTTAGTTAACCAGAAGATAGCCCTGCTAACTCATGCCAAGCATTTTGGTCAAGGTCCTTCCCCACCCTATGTATCTCCAGGCCATTCCTTTTAGGGCCTTTCTTGTCTCCCAGTGTCTAAATACTGGGTTCACTTGAACAGTTCTTTCCTTAACAGCAATTCTAAAGTCTTCAAAGAAATTCATTTAGTTTCCTTCCTTCCGTCCTTCCTTCCTTCCTTCCTTCCTTCCTTCCTTCCTTCCTTCCTTCCTTTCTTTTTCTTTTTCTGAGATGGAGTTTCACTCTCATCGTGCAGGCTGGAGTGCAATGGTGTGATCTCGGCTCACTGCAACCTCTGCCACCTGGTTTCAAGCGATTCTCCTGCCTCACCCTCCCGAGTAGCTGGGATTACAGGCACCTGCCACCACACCTGACTAATTTTTGTATTTTTGGTAGAGATGGTGTTTCACCATGTTGGCCAGGCTGGTCTTGAACTCCTAACCTCAGGGGATCCCCCCGCCTCGTCCTCCCAAAGTTCTGGGATTACAGATGTGAGCCACTGCACCCGGCTTCATTTAGTTTCAAACCTCCGAAGATTACTGCAAATCTCCTCCCTTGTTTCTATTTTTGGTCTTCAAGACTCTCCTAGTCCAGGGCTGTAATAACTGATATATTTTGAGACTCAAGAGTGCCATACATGTGGAAGTGGTTCTCAAATGTAGGAATTCAGTAGTTACAATATGTACATGGGAAGAGCAAGAAGGGGTTCTTTAAGATAACCATGAAAGCTGGGTTCCTTGACCTTTTCAATGACCCATCACAGGGAGTGTGGGGCATTGTTAAGAGGTCTCCAATGCAGATGTCACTGGATAGGTACTACTGTAGTGTCCCCTTCCAACCCCATCTGTAACACTGGGACATTATCAACTCAGTCTACTGCTCTGGGACACGGGGAGCCTGGCTGAAATAACAGTAGAGAATATCAGTTCTAGCCCCAAGAAAGGCCTTTTCACTTGACCTTTGTCTTTCACGCTGCTTTCATTTTAAGAATTAATGTATAACTTCTTGAAAGTTATTTGCTAATTCCTGGTACATAAACCTAATTAATTTGATCAATATACAGCTCCCCATGGCTATGAGCACAGACTCCATCTCCAGAGACTTTGGGGCCAGCACAAAATCAAATGAGTCCCCTAGAATAGCTAAAATGATCTTGAAAAAGAAGAATAAAATGTGAGTAATCAATCCACCCAGTTTCAGCACTCACTATATAGTTATATTAACCAAGACAATGTAATTTTGGCAGAAGGGTGGACATATTAGATCAACGCCACAGAACTCAGAAATAAATGTACACAAATATGCCCAATTGATTTTAAAATTTATTTTGTATTGATATGTAATAACTGTACATCTTTACTGAGTACATGTGATACTTTGATACATGCATACAATGTGTAATGATCAAATTAGGGTAATTAGGATATCTATCACCTTAAACGTGTATCATTTATTTGTGTTGGGAACATTTCAAATCTTCTGTTTTATTTATTTTGAAATATGCAATAAATTATTGTTAACTACCGTTACCCTACTGTGCTACTGAACACTAGAACTTATTCCATCTATCAAACTGTATTTTTGAATCTGTTAACCAACCTCTCTACATTTCCCTAACACCATCCTTCCAAGCCTCTAGTAACCATCATTGTACTCTCTACCTCCATGGAATCCACTTTTTTAGCTCCTACATTTGAGTGAGATCATTTGATATTTGTCTTTCTGTGCCTGACTTATTTCACTTAACATAATGAGCTCCAGTTCCATCCATGTTGCTGAAAATGACAGGATTTCATTCTGGTAGCTGAATAATATTCCACTGTGTATATATACTACATTCTCTTCATCCACTCATCCATTGACAGATACTTTGGTTGATTCCATATCTTGGTTATTGTGAATAGTGCTGTGATAAACCTAGGAATTCATATATCTCTTCAACATACTGATTTCCTTTATTTTAGATATATACCCAGAAGAGATTGTGGTTATAAAAGTGTAACAACAGTGATCCTTGTAATGATGGAAATGTTCTATATCTTGACTGTATCCTGTTATAATGTCAATATCCTGGCTGTGATATTGTACTATAAGTTTTGCAAAATGTTACCATTGGGAAAACTGGGAACTTGGTAAAGAGTACACAGGATCTCTATTATTTCTTAAAACTGCATGTGAATCTGTAATGATTTCAAATAAGTGCTTTTTTTAAAAAAAAAATCAAATTAGTACTCACAAAACTCCCTCTCTAATATCTCTGTATTGTCTCTTGGCATTCAATACCCTAATACTTCTGATACCACCTTGCAAAACTAGCTCTTAGAAAAGAATCTGATCTTTCTCACTGAAGTGCCAATGGCTGATGATGGCTTAAATGATACTACTTCCAGAGTAAAGGAACTTAGTCATCAAGCAAAGACAAAGTAACTGTAATGTTGGAATTTCAGACCCTGAGTAGAAGATGAGGAAGGTATTTGGGAGCAGCAGAGAAGCCTTCCTGGCATGTCTGAATTGTATGCTGTATGTCTCGTCCTATTCTGCTGTGAATGTAGATCAGGATTAAACTTCCACTTTAGGCCTCCAGGTTCCTGGTATCCTCCATTAATGTGGATTTTGCTTTGATGGTTGCAAACCTATCTACAAATGTTGAGAAGTCTTTTAATGTTAGTGTCATTTAAGCTATTCAGTTGGAAAAGACACACATATATTCTGTCTTCCTTGCTCCCCATGAATTATACCTTCTGATAGTAAGTTTACTTTCTCCTTCACCCACTAATGTCAATTCCCTATTAAATGCAGGTTCATCACTCTCAACCCAGGACAGAACACTAAATCACTTGTACCTTATGCTTTTAGAAAATTTCTCCCAGAAACTTATCCTGAAGTCAATAGTTCTTAACCAGGCTCTTTTAAAACTTCCAGGGGGGACCTGGAAAAGGAGAAATAGAGTGTGTTGGGTTCTTCGCAGGACCAAGCCCTGCATAAGGGATTCTGGTGTCTTGGAAAGAGCTCTGAACTGAGAAGTCAAAGAATGTAGGTTCTAACCGTTGCTTTGTCACTAACTTACCATGTGACCTTGGGTATGACATTTCTTTTCAGACATCAGTGTTCTCACCTGTAAAATAGATTATAGCAATACCCAAAATTTCTTTGACACCTGACTAGATGTGGAAGTGTGTAGGGTTGCGGTAGTAACCATGGTATTGCAAAATCTGTTTGAAAGAGGAATTCTCCCCTTGGATGATTTGTAATACTAGTTCACACTCTCTAAACCAGTCTGCCTTGAGTTGTCTGCCCAGAGTGGTCACTGGGTAATTTGAGAAGCCCTTTGTTACATAACTTATACCCTTTCCCTTTGATCTCTCATCTACTCTAGGTGTCAACTCTGCCCGCTCAGTTCCTCCGTCCTACCCACCACCGCAGGACCCGTTAAACCACGGCCAGTACCTGGTCCCCGACGGCATCGCTCAGTCGCAGGTCTTTGAGTTCACCGAACCCAAGCGCAGTCAGTCACCATTCTGGCAAAACTTCAGCAGGTTAACCCCCTTCAAAAAATGATACCTACAGGGAGGCAGATAATTTTAAAATAAAGTAAATAAAATTATATTTATAGATGGACCTTTTTTCGGAGAAGCACTGTTGAAATTTGTACACACACACACACACACACACAGACCCTTGAGTACACATACACACACACACACACACATACACACAGAGAGAGAGAGAGAGAGAGAGAGATAAGGAACAAAAGTGTTTTCTGTTTTTTTGGGGAAGTGAAATCTGTGGTTGGTAGGAAGAGGTACCAATGACTTCCAAACATGTGATCCCATCTTAAAAGTTTTCCATTTTTACCCTGTCCCCCTTCCCTTTGCTTTCAGAAGTTGACATTTCTATTTATTCCTTTTCTTGTTAAGATAATCTCTTTGCTCCCCTGTGAGTGATTCACTGCCTTGTCATTACTACCATAGATGTTTGTATTTTTTTTTCTTTTCTGATGATACTGATGTTGATGAATTTTTAATTTTATTTGATGTGGTAGAGTTGGGAGGTTTGGGGTTTTTTTGCCTCTTTTACTTTCCATTGAGGAAGGGAATGATCTCCTTTTATCCTCTCCTTCAGCCAATCATTTTCAAATGTTCCTTCAGCCCTGCAGTTGCCCCAAATAACCTTTTTTCAGCATCCTCTGTCCTCAGTCATGCCAGTCTGGACATGCTCTGTTGTGCCCTGTGACATAACTGCTCAGTATTCCTATTGCTTTTACTGTGTTTTAGGTACTGTGGAGAGATCAAAAAACCAAACAGAAGCAGGGGAGTATCAGACTATAATGATGCTGAGTGGACTTCTGTTCAGGGAACATTTTGCATTTGGGCTGTTTCTTCTATCACTGGGGTTTCCCATGTTGCAGCACTGCTGGGTCATTGCAATTTTACATCTAGGGGTTAATTTGATCCAGGCGTTCTCTTTTTTCAAGTCACTTTTGTTATAGGCCTCCTCCTAGGCCTGTCTCTCCCTTAGCCCAAAAGATCTGAACTGGAAGCAAAGAGGTTGAGATTCTGCCTCCCAGAGGAGGGATTTACCTGCCCCCTAGTACCAGATAGGTTTAGGGCAGGGATCCCTACAGCAATCAGTTCAGTGTCCTGGTTGTCCCTGCTCCCATTTACAGATGTTTGGGCAGTGTTGATAGGAGTATGGAGGGGTTCAAGACAGAGCCCACCTGACCAAGATCATCAGCTGCCTTCAAATTACTGACCTGGACAGGGTCCAAGGCTGATAGTAACCTTTTACAAGAAACAACAGGGATGAGAACGGAAAGCGATAGCCTTGATCCACAGTATTGTACCTGCATTTTCTACCACCCCAAAATTGTGTGAGACTTCTCCCATTGTTAGCAGATTGCATGGACAATCTTCCCTGGCTTCTTTCTTTCCCTCTCTCTTTCTTCTTTCTCCTGCCATCCTAGCACAGGAGGATTTTTGGTATTGATATAGTTAAAGCTGTTCTGGCACTCAAAGAAGGCCCTGTTTCCAACATCCTCTCTTCCCAGGACATTTGGGACAAGTGAGTGCGGGACCCAGGGGCAATTTTCCCTCTGAATAAGGGGTCTGAGGCGGGGTTGCTACCCTTAGGCTAGCTTTTGGCCAGCTTCTTGCTTGGGAAAATTGAACTTCTTTCACAAAGAGGCAGGCTTCCTATGGGTGTCGGAGTACCTGTTTTTCCTCCACAGAGAGCCCTTTTCATGGATAGACCTTGAACAACAAAAAGGGTATAAAGGAATAAGGATGAACTCTGCTGTGGAGAGCAAGCCACTGTAGTGAGGAATGTGGAGATTGTGAGTCTGTCCTAAACCCCATGGGAGAAGACTTCATCATGAAAGGACTTCAGCTTACCAAGCAGCAGCCATAGCTGTGTGGAGGCTTCAGCATAGCTAACATGTTTACTGCTCTATGCTTCCTGATCCAGACCAGGCATTAAACAGCCTGGGAATCTTTTCTTTGTGGGAATCAAATTACAAGCTATTTAAGCCTCTATTCCATCACAACCAAGTCAGATATGTATTATAAGTCAAGGATGAGCCTAATCTGGGGAGAGGGCCGGGGCTCGGGACTGGCCACCGCTGTTCAGCACATGACCTAACTACGTAAGCCTCCTTGGCAAGGCACCTGGTGCCCAGCACCCAGGCTAGAATATCCTGTCTGGCAAACAGAGTGTTTTGGTAGCTGTGCAGGCCTCCCTTCAGTGTACCTCTTTTTCCTACTTCTCACTCCTCCTCACTAGGCTTGGCCTTGACATGCTTCTTCGAGGGTTGGCAGCACACCGGGAGGGGATGCTTGGACAAGTTTCTGGGCCTACATTTCTTAACTAGGCCCTCTCATTTCCTCCCTCCTTGGGCCTTGTGCCCAGGGCTCCATGATCAGGGATATTACCTCTCAACCCTCACTTCTCTACTGAACCCACTGGCATCACCAGATGCCAGTAATTTGTGAACAACAAGAAATCATCTCCCTGTTGGTTGGAGTATTCCCACAGCCTGTAGCATCAAAGCAGACCAGTGGCCAACAGCCCCAAGGGGAGCCCAATTAAATACCTGGGTTCAGTATCCTAACCTGTTGTGTCCTGACAGCAATGGTAACCCCAAGAATTCTGTAATCCTCTCATTTCCACATGGCCCCGAGCTCCCTTTTCCTCAACTCAATGAGGCCAGGATTTGCTCTCCAAAGGGCTTTGCTAATGTGTTCTATGGGACCTGCTACCGGGAGTCCTAAGACAGACATCTAATTATTCTCTCTTTTTTTCTCCCCCTCTCTCTATGTGTATATTTCTAATGGATCTATAAGAACAGCAACAAGAGAGTTCTAACAATTCTAGTGTGAAGCCAAATAGTGATCTTTTAGTGCTTTGGGGATGGGTGGGCTGGGGTGGATGGATGGGCAACAGTGACTTTGATTACCCTTGCTGCTCTGCATTTGCCAGTTTGTTCTTCTGTTTCTTTTATCTGACTGTTTGACTCTGTCAAACAAGTGTCAAAGTTGTGTGTTAAAAAAATGTTTAACAAAAAAAATGTTGTAATGACACAAAGCCTTATGAAAATATTTATGGAGTTCAATAAAAGAAGTAAAAAGACACCTCCTGGCATAGCTCTCATTCCTGTGTGTGTGTATGTGTTTGTGTGTGTGTGTGTTGCCAATTGTGAAATAAAGGGAATTTGCCTAGTATGAGACAGCTTACCCCAATCCAGCCTTGACCTGCCAGCCCTGCTGTTCTATTCCCAGGCATCCTATGGGCCACCTGTGGCCTTCCATGTGTTTTCTGGAAGAGTGGACCACAAGGATTATGTTTGATCCTGTAGCCAGGGGCAGTCAAATGTCTTTATGGATGGGACTGTCCTTCATGTCACCCAGCCCTTTGATAAGACTTAAAGGTCCATTTCTGACCTTGCTCTTTTTCTTTATACCAGCAATTCCCAATACTGGCCCTGGGCCCTCATGGAAGCTTAAAGACTGCCTTCTGAACCCATCTAGAGACCATATCACTTAGGAATTTGCAACTCTCAGTTCCTTCCTAAAGCCTTTGGTCCTGTCTCTTTAGAGGTAGATATCTTCCTTATCTATTCCTCAGAGTGGGTAGAGTAACCTTACTATTTCTTCCATCATGGTGTCACCTGCATGTAGATGTTCCTTGCTGTCAATAGGCCTCTATGTGGTATCTGATACTCCCTGTGGGAAACCCAGTATAGGTTCCTTTCTGACATTGCCTTACCTGCCTTTCTTCGGAGCAACTAAACACCCCAATAAAATGCTTATTTACTAAAAGGGTCCAGATAATTATTCCAATTCATAGAGTTAGAAGGGGGAGCAGATGTTGGGCCTCTGGATTAGAGTGTGAGCCCTGTCCTCCTTGGCCTTCAAGATCCTCCCACCACCACCCCCAGGATTTGATTTGAAGAAAGTGATAATTAAACCCTCCTCTCCACCAACTTTTCCCCTTTCTCCATTTCTTGGCTCTCCTTATTTAACCCCTTCCTCTGCTATCACCATTATTTCCCTTTTCCCTAGAGTCTGCCATCTCTCCCCACCAAAATCAGCAGGACTTAGTTCTCAGCAGTCACTTCTGCATCTTGCCAATTCCTAACTTCCCCAATTTCCAGAAATAAATCTGTTACCTCCTGCAGAGAACAAGAGGGCAGCATCTGGTCTCAGTCTTCCCTGACTACTTTCCAAGGGCACTAGAAGTGGGGAGACAAATGGTGGGGGTCTTATACTTTAAGATAAACTTGGTTCTCTCTTAAGGTACCTAAAATGAAACACTTCATCACCGTAAGAATCATTTCTGAACACCCCCTGTGACAGTTAATACTGAGTGTCAACTTGATTAGATCGAATGCTACAAAGTATTGATCCTGGGTGTGTCTGTGTGGGTGTTGCCAAAAGAAATTAAGATTTGAGTCAGTGGACTGGGAAAGACAGACCCATCCTTGATCTGGGTGGGCACAATCTTCTCAGCTGCCAGCATGGCTAGAATATAAGCAGGCAGAAAAATGTGAAAAGAGAGGCTGGCCTAGTCTCCCAGCCTACATCTTTTTCTCATGCTGTATGCTTCCTGCCCTCGAACATCAGACTCTAAGTTCTTCAGTTTTGGAACTCGGACTGGCTCTCCTTACTCCTCAGCTTGTAAACAGCCTATTGTGGGACCTTGTGATCGTGTAAGTTAATCTTTAATAAACTCCCATTTACATATATATGTGTGTGTGCGTGTATATATATATATACATACACATATCCTACTAGTTCTGTCCCTCTAGAGAACCATGACTAATACAAATTTTGGTAACAAGAGTGGTTCTAGAGGAACACAATACTAAGGATAGAGTTCTTTCATTGGTTTTGGAGTTTCTGGAGTTGACTACTTAATGCGATTAGACCCCAAATTGCTAAGGACTGTACTTCTAATAATATGAATAACACTGATAATCTTTGATGTGAACTGTTTAGAGAGTAATGTAAAATAAATGCATTTGATACTCCTGATTCACTGTTCATGAGAGGCAAGGAGTGGACAAAGTGATGAAAGAAAATGATGAACTCAATGGATTCTGTCTCCCGGCTTCAGAAGCAAATACTGAGTCTCCAATCTGCTAAGATTGCCCTGAGTGAGAGTCTTATCTAATGCAGAGAAAGAGTTGAAATAGGGGAAAACAGACACAAGCTCTTATCATGCAAGTGGCTGACCTGCAATGCAAGGTACATGTACAGCCTCGCCAGGTGTCTACTGTTAAAGTGAGGACATTGATTAGAAAAGAATGGGACCCTGGAACTTGGAATGGGGACATTTGGGAAGACCCTGATGAACCTGAGGACATTGAGTTTGAAAACTCTGATGAACCTTTTTGCCAGAAGGAACAGCTTCCCCATGTCCAGTAATGGCAACATCCCCTCCTTGACCCATGCTGCCATCAGCCTTTCCACCGTGGTCTGAGGAAATAAACCCTACACTGCCTAAAGCAACAGTGATGGCCTCCCCTGAGGCAGTTGACAGGACAAATAATGTTGATTTTCCTCAGGAGCAACCCACAACATCTGTTTGCTTCTAGACCTATAACTAAAGTCCTTGCGGGCCCCTAGAGGTGAGGTTGAGAGTATGACCCATGAGGAGGTGGACTTCACTCCAAAAGAACTGCTTGAGTTATCTAATTTATATAAGCAAATCTGGAGAACAGGTATGGGAATGGATATTAAGGGTATGGGATAATGGTGGAAGGAACATAGAGTTGGATCAGGCCGAATTTACTGATTTTGGCCCATTAAGTAGGGACTCTGCTTTTAATGTTGCAGCTTGGGGAGTTAAATAAAAAGGTTCTAATAGTTTATTTGCATGGTTAGCTGAAAGATGGATTAAAAGGTGGCCAACTGTGAGCAAACTGGAAATGCCTGATCTCCCTTGGTTTAATATAGAGGAAGGGATCCAAAGGCTTAGGGAGATTGGGATGATGGACTGGATTAATCACTTTAGACCTACTCATCCCAGCTGGGAGGGTCCAGAAGATGTACCCTTGACCAGTGCCTTGCAAAATAGATTTGTGAGGACAGCACTTGCATCTTTGAAGAGCCCTGTAATTGCTGTTCTCTATATGTCAGATTTAACAGTCGGAACCATGGTCACTCAACTACAAAATTTAAACACAATGGGAATAATTGGATCCCAAGGTGGCAGGTGCCAAGTGTTGGCACTCAATCATCAATGGCAAGGTGGGCATAGCTACCAAATGGACAGCAGAGACAAAGCAGCAATCAGAATAGTCCGACTCACGTAGAGCCCTGGCATTGGCTAATTAATCACGGTGTTCCTAGCAGTGAAATTGGTAGGAAGCCTACCGCATTCTTCCTTAATTTATATAAGGAGAAAACTTCTAGGTAGAATGGGTGAAAGACAAATTTGAATTATAAAAACAGAATCATGACGACCTCAATCATTTTCCGTACTTCACCCAGTTTACAGACCCAAAACCCTTTGAATGAAGGTAAGGCCAGGTCCCATTGAGGAAGGACCCCACTACATTACTGATAACTTGCGCGGTGAATCTTCCTGTCATCCTTCCCCAAGGAGACCTCTGACCTTTTGCCAGGGTACCTGTACATTGGGGAAAGGGAAATTATCAGACATTTCAGGGACTACTGGACACTGGTTCTGAGCTGACATTGATTCCAGGGGACCTGAAACGTCATTGTCGTTCTCTAGTTAAAAGTAGGGGCTTATGGAGGTCAGGTAATTAATGGAGTTTTAGTTCAGGTCTGACTTACAGTGGGTCTAATGGGTCCCTGGACTCATCCTTTGTTCATTTCTCCAGTGCCCAAATGCAAAATTGGCATAGACATACTTAGCAGCTGGCAGAAACCCCACATTGGCTCCCTGACTGGTACAGTTAGGGCTATTATGGTGAGAAAGGCCAAACAGAAGCCATTAGAGCTGCCTCTACCTGGAAAAATACTAAATAAAAAAATACATCCCCGGAGGAATTGTGAAGATTAGTGCCACTATCAAGGACTTGAAATACACAGGGGTGCTTACTTCCACTACATCCCCGTTCAACTCTCCCATTTGCCCTGTGCAGAACACAGATGGATCTTGGAGAATGACAGTGGATTATTGTAAGGTTAACCAAGTAGTGACTCCAATTGCAGCTGCTTTACCAGATGTGGTTTCATTGAGCAAATTAACACATCTCCTGGTACCTGGTATGCAGCCATTGACTTGGCAGATGCCTTTTTCTCCATTACTGTGCATAAGGTGCTACCAGAAGCAATTTGCCTTCGTCTGGAAAGGCCAGCAATATACCTTTACTGTCTTATCTCAGGGGTATATCAACTCTCCGGCTTTGTGTCATAATCTTATTCAGAGAGACCTTGATCACTTTTGGCTTCTGCAAGATAACACACTAGTCCATTACATTGATCATATTATGCTGATTCGATCAAGTGAGCAAGAAGTAGCAAACACACTGGACTTATTGGTAAGACATTTGTGTGCCAGAAGATGAGAAATAAATCCAACTAAAATTCAGGGACCTTCTACCTCAGTAAAATTTCTAGGGTTCCAGTGCCGTGGGGCCTGTCAAGATATTCCTTCAAAGGTGAAGGGTAAGTTGCTACATTTGACGCCTCTTACACCCAAGAAAGAGACACAGCGCCTAGTGGGCCTATTTGGATTTTGGAGACAATGCATTCCTCATTTGCGTAAGTTACTCCAGCCCATTTATCGAGTGACCCGAAAGGCTGCCAGTTTTGAGTGGGGTCCAGAACAGGAGAAGGCTCTGCATCAGGTCCAGGCTGCTGTGCTAGTTGCTCTGCCACTTGGGCCATATGACCCAGCAGATCCAATGGTACTTGAGGTGTCAGTGGCAGATAAGGATGCTGTTTGGAGCCTCTGGCAGGCCCCCATAGGTGAATCACAGTGGAGACCTCTAGGATTTTGGAGCAAGGCCCTGCCATCTTTGGCAGATAACTACTCTCCTTTTTAAAGACAACTCTTAGCCTGTTACTGGGCTTTGGTTGAAACCGAACGTTTGACTATGGGTCATCAAGTCACCATGTGACCTGAACTGTCTATCATGAACTGGGTGCTTTCTGAC